ATAGATAGATAGATCGATCTTTGGTTATTCGGGTTTTCTCCCGCGTAAGATTCAAAGTATCTAGGCAACGTTTCGATGAAGTCTCATTCATCATCTTCAGGCTTGCTTCTTCGGCTCTGTGCTTCTCAGAGTGATGTGAGCTTTCAGCTGCTTCTTCCTTCTAACTGCCAGTGGGGGTGTGACTTGACTGGGTGGGGGCTTGGCTGCGTTCCGATTGGGTGGGGGTGTGTTCTCATTGGTTGGAGGCTTGGCTGTGGTCTGATTGGTTGGGGGGCTGGCCGTGTTCTGATTGGCTGGAGGCGTGCTCTGTTCAGGTGGGGGCTTGGCCGTGCTCAGGCTAGTCCCAGCTGCTGGGGGATTTGAGCTGGTGAGCTGGGATCTTGCTGTTTGGCTTTGAGTTCGTGGTCGTGCCACATCTTCATGGTGGGGGTCAGTTCGCTTCATGTATGGCTCAGATGGGTTTGAAGTGGGTAGTGATGCAGCTGCAGTGCGGCTTCTGGTCTGTGGTCGTGTCTCATCTTCTGTGTGGGTGTGAGTCTGATTTTTACGTGGAAGTGTGGTGGTGGCATCTTGTGTGGCCCTCGTGGGTGTGGGTCTGGTGTCATTCATCATGTTGGGTACTCGTCTGTTCATGAGGGCGGGTTTCCAAATGGCTGGTAAGCGGGAGGTATCATCTCTTTTATTCATGCTGTGTGGGCGTTTTTCTATCTCTATGGCTTCTCTGATTATTCTGCTGCTGAAGTGTTCAGTTTTGGCGATAGTTCTGGTATTTTTAAAGTCAATCTCATGTCCTGTGGCTTTGAGGTGTTGGACCAGGGAAGAGGTTGGTTCTTCTTTTTTGATTGAGTTCTTATGTTCTTCAACGCGTGCACTTATTCTTCTGTTAGTTTGTCCAATGTATGTGGTGAGGCAGGCAGTGCAAGGGATTTCATATACTCCTTGGTTTTCTAACTCGATTTTGTCTTTAGGGTTTCTTAGGATGGTGGATATTTTTCTGTTTGTGCAGAATGCTGTTTTAATGTTGTGTTTTTGGAGGATCTTGCTGATTTTGTCTGTAGTGCCTTTTATATATGGGAGGAGGGCTTTGCCGTTCTCTTGTTCTCTGTCTTGGATTTTGGTTGGGGTTTCTTTTTGGATTAGGTGGGTAATCTTCTTTCTTTGGAATCCATTGGCTGTTAGTACGTTGGTGAGAGTGTTTAGTTCGGTTTTTAGGTGTTTGTAGCCAAAATATTTGTAGCCAAAATATTTGTAGCCAAAATATTTTAATCCAATTTAATTAAGTTTTTAATTCCGGCTTGTTCCTTTCCTAGTTCGAAGCCCCACTTAGGTGTCAAAATTATTTTCTTTTCTTTTTTTCCTGTCCCTTTGTATTTTCGCCGCTCACTTTTCTTTTCTTAAGAGTTCAATGTTACCTTAATCCCGGGGTACTTTTTGTTTAGTTGTTTCACCCAATTGTCCCGGCTCAGATGTTATCCACCTCTTTCTTCACTCCTGCACAAATCTTAGTCCAGCTGAGTCCTCCTCTTTGGGGGTGGCCATTTTGGACCACCGCTTCAATCGTCTTCGGGGGGAAAAAGACCAAGCCCAATAGGGGAGATGCAGCTCCCCTCAACCTGGCTGGCAGCTTCCCCTTACTCCACTACCCCTCCAAAGCAGCTTCAGCCCCTAATCGCAATGATTGGGGCTCTCCAACAAAAGAGCACAGACCATAGCCGCGGACAGTCGCGATCTGTGGTATGTCAGCGAGGAGGGCTCAACCCGGAAGTTTAGTTTAGCTTTAATAGTGTCAAAAGGGATTTATATTGATCAGGGCAGCAAGAACTTTTTTTAGACTGTACTAATTAACAAGGACATAGATTTTTTCCCCATCCTTTGCTGTCTCATGGAAGTAGCCAACAAATTAATGGATAGCATGAAGGTCTTGCAAATGAAATTACTTTTCTTCATGATCCCCTCAGTCCCAAATAAACCCATTTCTGAGCTTTATATACTCCATTATTTCTCTCAGACATTCTTTGTTTTTCCTCTTCAATTTTACATCTTAATTTCTTTTTTAAAAATTGACAAAGGATATCTCAGATAAATTATGGGGTATAAACATACATTTTCAGGCAGAAAAAAAATGGGTTTATCTAAAAGCTCTTAATCTTGACCATTAATTTCCTAAATTCCATGAGAAATATTTCTACTGTCAAGATGCAGCGATAAACAAATATATTATGTCTTGTATGGAAACTGCTTTGAAATCATCCTGTTTTCTCATATAAGTCTTTAAAAAGTCTGAATTCTTCAGATTACAGTGCACAGTCATATACACATGCTTTATAATATTACCACAATATTTGCCAAAACAACAGAATGAAAACAAGAGTCATTTTTAAATTTCAGTGGGGTGGAAGAAGAAATGAGACAATATTTAAGGAGGTTAAAAAATTGGACTTTGACCTAGAGTATGACCATAGCCTCAGGTACAAATCCACCTTCAGCCTCACTAATTATTTGAGGTCAGATACAGAATTTATTCCACATATTTGTTTAAAGAAATACCAGAGGAGGAAGGGTTAAATGTAGAAAATGCAGGAGGTTAAAAGAAATGACTAAAAGAAAGTGCCCAAAGGCAGATGAGACAGAGAGATAGCTATTTGGATAAACCATCAGGTCACAAAATATGATATTATTCAAGTTCTTGGCTGATCTAGTAGTTAGTTCTCTAACCTTAACTGATTGAGTGGGACCACTTTACTATGGCCTGTACAATACTTCCAGTTTGTGACCTTCAAATGACTTTTTTGGCATTTTTATGTTGCCCTACCTGAAAAACTCTTAGTGACACACAATATTATCATACACACACATCAATTTATTTATTTATTAAGCATATGGCATGTATTAGCCAGGGATCACTGAGATGGCTGGCTGTCTCTGTGAAAGGATTTTGGAGGGGCAGTGTTATCTTTACCCATGAGACGCCTGAATGCCGGTAGGCAATCGGGGGGAGGCTCCTTTCTTGTCCCTCCATGGTTTATTCACTCACGGGAATTGAGCCGCCGAGCTGTTGACCTCAGCAGCACGCAGATCCAGCATCTTACTGTATGAGCCAATATTTATATACAATGCTGCATTATTCAGAAGAAATTACTCTTCGGAGGAGGATATGAGAAATTATGAAATCAAATGTATTGTTTATGGAGATTCTCAATCATCCAGGTCATGGTTGTCCCAAAAGTGCTTTTCCAAAAGGCAAGTAGTCTTTCTTGTTTTTTTCCCCTTGAAAACAGTTTGCTTCCAGTTGAAGTCTGATTGCAAAAACACTTCTTTCCAAAATGGGAAACAGAATTTTGCAACATCTCAAGAACCCTAACTAGACAGGCTTCTCAAACAATACCTGTTTGAGATTAATAGAAAATAGGAATCCACATGTCTATACCACCCCTCTGCTTTTTTTGCTAATATTCCCAGCTGGATGAAGCACCAATGTTGCATCTAATACATTTTTTTTAATGTGTATGGCATGGGCACTAGTAGAACATGACCAGGAGATACTCCAGCACAATTGTGGTATGGGGATCAACTTTGACAAACTTCCATTGAAAATAAAAGGCCAACTTGTGAATAGCAATCTCTATCTTCTATCCCTTGGGTGGCTTACCTCTACATTATGTTCAGGGTGGGGAGTGGGTTGATAGGAAAACAGCAATCAGAACAGAAATTGATTATTATTTTTCTTTGAAATAAACAGAGTTTTACATTCCAACTCTTCATTGCTGTTGGGTTATTGCCAGGTCAGACAGCTTGCAGAGTAATTTAAATGTCTGCATATACAAGGAGAGAGGAGGAGGGGAGAGGGAGAGAATGCCCATACAGAATCACACAATTAAGAAATGTCAAAATGACAAGCAAAAAGATAAGTCCAACATATGCTGCTCGTTAGGATCACAGCATGATAGTAAGAGGGGAAAAAAATCATCTTGCTTGAATGACTGTGGACTTGCGAGATAACATGCTCTGAGTGAAAAAGGTTGCCCCATTTGCATTCTTCCTAGTAGCTCAGCCTTTTAAAACAAGAACACAGCTGTTCATGACAAAACTGATTTGTCAGTCTATCATACAAAATAATATCCAATAGGGTAGCTGTAGCACCCATTGTCTGCTAAAGTAGTAAGGACTCAGCAATGGCTTTGCACATTTGGTGCCATGTATAATCAATAAACAGCTGCTTGTACAAGGGTATGGGGTTACCTGTTCTCCAATAATGAAGCTTTATTGAGGTAGGCTTGTCTTTAATGTGGTAAAATGAAAGAACAGCCTATTGTACTGCTGGTTTATTTGGTCTGCATGTTAGGACTCTATTTCGAAGGCCATTAGCATACAATGCATTTGTCTGAATTTAGAATGTAGCTGTGTTTCCTTCAAAAGACCATCTGTTCTCAGACCCATTCTATTCATACTTCTAGCAATAAACTTGATAGGGTGGCAGAATTAGCAGAGGAGTATGTTTAAATGAAAATGCATATGGTTTCAAAATACATACAGTTGCCTTTACACATTGCAATTGTCCTATGAAGCTGTGATTACAATGGCTTGGTCTAGATTTTGTTTTATTTTGAGGGGGGGATTTATGGGGGGGATATCCTGAATTTCCACCATTTTCATCTAAATACATTATTATTGGAAACAATTAACAGGGTTAGTTGTTACTGAAAAGACACATAAAGGCCAATTGCTTTCTGCTAAAATGCAGTGAGTTAGTACATGCACAAATGTTTTTCTTGAACTAGCGGAGGGGGGGGGATGATACATTTCTATTTCACCGCAGCTCTTTCATAATTCATAATCTCATAATTCATTCAGAAAAGGTAGAGCAACGCATCTCAACTCAGTCTCCTGATCCTGTATGGAAAGGTATTGCAACCATTTCTGAATGTAGAGATTAGATGATAGATAGATAAATAGATAGATGGATGGATGGATGGATGGGTGGATGGATGGATGGATGGGTAGGTAGGTAGATAGATTGATAGATAGATAGATGATGGATGGATATATATGTGTGTGTATAGATAGATAGATAGATAGATAGATAGATAGATAGATAGATAGATAGATAGATAGATA